GTCAACGTGAGTAAATGATTCAATACTCGATGTGATTTATAAGGCGTATATGTCTCCGTTTTACTGTTAATCTTCATGTAAAGCTTTCACATGAAGTGGCGTGATACCCGGTGAAAAACGCGGTATTCGCGCTATGTAATATTCGTGAAATTTCATATAACTAGGGTGGTGAAACTCCAAAATTATTCTCCGCCGAGTGCATTATGAAACTTTTCGCTACTGGTTTTATTCACGTCCACTTAGTTTACCTATGATCGTCAGTTCTGGTACCATTTCCTGAACTCTTTTAACAGTTTGGAATTTGTAATTTTCTCGATCTCCGCTAACATTATAATCAAAATGCTTCAATTCGAAATCATCAGGTACGTCGTCAAACGTGTAATCGTCGAAAGTCGTGTGGATGCAGAGACGTAGGAAATTATAGCGGGCCCCGTCGTCGCCGAAATACCTGCAAAAACAGAGTGTGTAGAGAAGAAAAAATATGGCAAAAATTTTACGGAAAAAAATTTAGTTTTTTTCGAGTGTTCGTATGCAGTGTGGGAAAATATACACATGGTGGTCAGCTGCATGTATTGGTGATGATGATATGAAAATTCTGAAGAAACTCTTGTTGGTTGGTGAACATTTGGTGAACATTTTTAACAAAGTTGTATCCGAACTTCTGTAATTAGTGAGGAAACTCCTGAGCTCAGCTGAGAAAAGCAAACATATATTCCTACTCCGACACAGAGATTTTCACAGTGTTGGAGGAATATACGTTCGCTTTCTTCGGTTGTGTAGGTTCTGTAAGGGTCCCTTACTAAGGGAGCAAGTTCAACGACTGCGCAACGCAATGGGGGAAATGTCGCTCGACGCATTGAACTTTATATAGGTGGTACCAGATTGGGTAGTTACATACTCCGGAAAGCGCGACAAGCTCGCGCTTCCGAGCATAAAGAATTCAATGTTGGTAGCAGATTGTCGGATGAAATCCATGAGGTTATAGGTTGCACCTGTGTAGTAATTCTGCTCCAACTACGATATGAACAATATTTTTTCAGTAGTACAGGGGCCCTCGACTAGTCGTAGTAGTACTACGGTAGTACGTCACGGTGGCGCACGCCAAGTCACCAGTGTATACCACTCAAGACTTGGCAGTGAATCATTCACAAGGCACCAAATATACGACTAGTCGAGAGCGTCAGGGAGCTGTTTCACAGCAACAGGCTCAGCCTGTCAGGCTGTTGCCAACAGCTAACCCTGACAAACACCCCAACCGCTGTACTACTAATTGACGTTGGAAAAGAAGTTGAAAGGAGTTTCCTTAGTAATTATAAAAGTGTACAGAAACCAACGAGGATTTCTTCACAATTTTCATATTGTCATCATCACCAACACATGTAGTTGATGACCATGTGCATATTTTCCCTCCACACTGTTTTCGTGTTTTTCTCAACAGCGCTTATTTTTCTCACTATTGGAGGAATATATATTTACTTTCCTCAGCTAAGCCCAGGAGTTTCCCTACTACCTATAGTAGAAGTGTACAAAGAACCAAGGAAAAATTTCCCAAAATTCCCTACGCGCTGCTCACATATCAAAAAATGGTTGACGTTGTTGTTCAGTGAGGTTCAAGCGGTTCATAGCCCATCCTGCCATCTCAGCAACAGCGCCTCCGAACCCTATGATTGGCCATTTGTCGACTGCATCTGAACACGCAGCAAAGTAGGAAGGGGAGTATATGTTCACTTTCCTCAGAGTGTGCACATTTTGCCAACAACAATTTCCTCAGAAGTTTCGTAGTGTCACCAAGCAGTTGATGGCCATATGTATATCATCCAACACACTTCCTATGCCTGTATCAACACTCCTGATGAGTTCGGCGTTACAGTATGCTCAGGAGTTCCTCACTACTTTAGAAGTGTGCAGAAACCAGCAATAAATTCCCTCAATTTTCGTATTATATCCAACACATATAGTTGATGACCATATGCATACCCTCCAACGTCACTCACCAGTTTTCACTTTCATTTCAGCTGAGTTCGCACTCCCCCCCGAAACTTTGACCGACATAGGTGACCATTTTTTCCCAGTAGGCGTAGTAGTGAATCTAATAATGTTATATGAACATCCTCATTGTATCGAGCTTACGCTTGAGCCTGTATGTTGGGAAGTGGGCGAGTTGTGGTAGTAGTACTAGAGTCGGATTCACTACTACACCCTGAGAGATGCAACAACAGAGTAGTGGTAGTAGCTAGAAGAATGATGATACCGAAAGACATGACCGAAGGCTGAGTATTACAACTAAATTTGATGTGATGTCTATCGAGGTCATACAGTGGAGTTTCACGACCCTAGTGAGATGAAAATACGCAAGTGAAGAATATATCTCACGATTATTGTTTTTCTTCCACAGAGTATAACGCCACTTCACGTAAAACGGGTGGAGCTTTGCTACACGTGAAGGGACAATCTAAAATACGCGTGTACATATATCGGCCCGTGAACCTTAACATCTCGAGTACTGCAGCCTTTCGTTCCACTCCACAGACCATCATATGTACTCCTGTTAGTATATAATTATATTCGACTTTCTATTAGGATGCAAGTGATCACTGCCTGTTGGTAATCTACTGAAGTTTATCGTACTTCACCTGTTTGCACGCATGAGCAAAAGTGGAGACCATTCGCTGTGTAAGAAGCCGTTTGGGTATTCATTCGGGAAGGAATTATTCTATTAGAATCGTCTTGTTCAAAGTGATGATGATGATGGCAGGCCTCAGTATGAATCAGCCTCGTAACGCGTTGTATGTTCTGAGGTTTCCGAAATGTACATGTGATGTCTCTATCAGTGTCAACCGCTCCACTTCATGCTCAACACTCATCCTGCCTAGTTGAAATAACGTACTGATAAAATGATTGCGTATGAAGTTACAAGAGTATATACAACAGTTGTGTATACCCTTGTAACCTCCTGCAGTTCAACAGTTGTAACTGTAGTAAGAGTTACTCTACGAAGGAACGATCGGGTCGTACGTATGTCCATCGATATATTCACGCTGATAGTGTCAGCATGTAACCTCAAGATCAGAATGTTGATTTCCATTGAGTTGATAATCACCACTACCTTACTAGGATGAGGAAGGTATGGGCCCGCTCGGTTCGGGTTGACAGCTCCCGAGATGGTTAGCAGTACGTACTAGAAATGGAGTAGGACAAGTGTACTGGATGGGCAGGTACGCAAGCACAACTGGAGCCAGCTCCCCCCTGTTCGCGCACGTATTGTGAGGGTGGAACGGTTGACGAGACGTCAGTAGTGATAGCTATGTTGGACGCATGATGGTTACTGTGCTGTAGAGAAGAAGCAGAGGATGATCTAGTCCTTAATGGAGGAATCCTAGATGCTCTTAGCGATACTATAGGCTCACCAGACTCTTGATAGACACTGCGTGTAATAACCATCCCGGACTCAGCGCGACAAGACTAACTTGGATTCAATTAGTTACAGATTTACTCAGGGCGCTGACTAGCGTTAAAGCAAAAAAAGCCGTAATAAGACTCTAATACTATCAATACTCCAAGGTCGCTCCAACCAGGGGCCGTATGCGGATCCTGATGCAACAGGTGAGTCAGAGTATTTACTCAGATGAAAAAATCAGATGGTGAGTAATAACCCCTGATTCACTGATTTTTTACTCTGGAGCGAAAAATCAGGATCATCGCGAGGACATGTGGATCTCTGAGCTGATTCGAGAATCTAAAGTTGATTTTTTGGCTGATTAATACTCTTACTCAATATGCCTTGCTCATGAGGCTGATTTTTCGGGTGATTCCATTGAATCTGAGTATTTTCGAGAATCAGGGAATCAGAGTTTGAATCAGACATTTTTGACAAGACGAAGATTATAGTCGCTACGCCCCACAACCGAAAGTGACAATTTCAAGAAAGGAAGAAAACGTCACTGTACGAGAGTTGAACTTGGTAGATTCGCCCCGAATGCATGCAGATTTCCCGTTACGTTACAGCAATGATAAAATTTCGGAAGAAGATCTTCGGTCGCACTTGTACACATCCGTACTTCAAACTTTTCAATATGTTCACTCGGAATCAACTAACTCCGGGTTTCTAACTCAGAAGTTCTAAGAGGAAGCTCAGCGCTAGAGCTTCCTTCTAGAGCTTCCTTTGATAACCGGTAGCGTGATCGGGTGTCGTTATCGGACAATCCCTCAAGAGGATCGACGAAGGGCATTTATTGTTTTTATTGAACAATTAATCGCATTAAGGAATGCGTAGTTCACAGTGTGAACTTCACACCGTGTGGCTGCATGTACTACATGCGCTATACCTCCATACACC